ATTAGCTCGCATATGAACTACGTTATAGTAAATAGAGTGAAAAATATTAAGTAATAAATATTATAAATTCAGCTTATAATTAGAAAATATAAGTTATAGTAGCTATAGAATAAAGCTTAATATAGTAATAATATAAGTTAAAATCTAATTTAGATAAATTTATAATATAAATAAGATATTAATTTTAGATAAATATATACTATTAATAAAACAATATAGTATATTAGATATGGAATTATAGAAGCGTTTAGATTTTATACTTCTCTTATAATTATAGTTTTATATCTTATTATAACTTAATACTAGTTATTATCCTTAATAGATATTAATTAATTTAATAAATTCTAATTGTAAGGCGTATTATAGAAGTAATACTAACTTATTTTCTAGAGTTAAATAGAGTTTCATAAAATTTTACTTAAATTTTTTATTATATACATTAACTATAAAGTTATATTTTTAAATACTTAATTCTAGTAGGTTAGAGTATAGTCTCCTATTCTTTTTTAAGATAATTAATTCAATACGCTATATAGTAAATAGAGGGAAAAATGTTAACCAACTTATTAAGTAGTAGCGCTATAGTAATTGTTTTGCTAGTAGTTAAAGAAGGCGTGGGATGCGATTTCTAATTCTTTAATCCCCAAGCTCATTAGGAGACTACCGTGCCGTCTCGCCGCTATCACTAAGGCGTATTAATTTAAAAAAAATACATTAGAAGCTCTAGCTTTGATTTACTAATGTTAAAATATATTTTGGTTCTGTTTAAGTGCAGCTATATGACTTTGAAGAGGGGGCGAGAATTCGTGGGGATGACCCGAGCGTGTCATGCAAACAAACGTTTGATCTACGTAGTAGCACAGTGTCAACACTGTTTTCATCTATCCAACATGCACAATCTGCAAGAACTCTTCATTTCTGCTACTGTGCTCCTGAAGAATAGAAGTATACTTCTAGAAAACTGTATGATAAGCTGCCTTAACATAGGAATCAAACCCTTTTTTCTGCTGTTGTTCCTCTTGCATTTGCTGAATGCTTGCGCGCCTCTGTTCTTCGGTCACACCTTCGCCGCTAATCATCTCTCTCTGGCTCTGCCTCATGCCAGAATAGATATCAATGTCCTTGGTTCGAATCCACAATGGGCGATGCGAAGGATATTTGAACCAGCTATAGACCTTCCACATGAGGTACAAGACAACGAGGAAAGGTGCAGCCATGTAGTTTTCGAAAAAATTCTCCGCACTCAAGTTTGGTCCACCAACAGGGTAAAGAGCTACGTAGAATGAAGCGATGAGCGCAAGGACGTTGATGACAATGCATACCCAAGAGCCCCAAACCCCGAGTGAGGCTCTATATGGGATTTCATCAAGACTATGTCCATTAAAGGCCCTGAACTAATCTTAGTACAAACAAAGATATGGCACACTTTCGCGTAGGACTCACCAAGCTTTGCGGAAACGAATGTGTGCGAGTGCAATACTGGCGAACACAAACAACACAGTGATGGCAGATAATGACAGTAACCAGGTGAAGATATCTCCGCCACTCGGAGCGAGATTGATGTATGCCAGTAGACCAAACAGAAGCTGAATGATGATCACAACAACTGGGCGACCCTTCTTATCCACGTAGGCGGTAAATTTCGGTCCCATACCTAGATAATCATTGTTGTCAGTAAGGGGCTGTTACTGTATAATTCAAGACACTTACCATTAGCCGCAAGAGCTTGCATAGTGCGTGTGGAGCCAAAGGTGCAAGAGTTGGCGACGCTCATGACTGAGATGAGAATGACAGCATTGAAAATGGATGGGAGGACCTTGATTCCAGCAAGTTGGATAGCAATTACGAAAGGTGAGCGAAGGGAACTGTCGCCAGCACTACCGTTCAATGCTGCGTTGTTAACCGGTACATCTAGACCGACGAGGGCAAGATTTACAACGTAAAATAGTATGATGCGATAGATGACTTGTTTCGAGGCCTTGGGAATCTCCTTCCTTGGGTTATCCGTCTCAGCTGCTGCCAATCCAGTAAGTTCTGTGCCAGTGTACGCGAATGCCGCATTGACGAAAACACCGCAGAAACCATGAAAGCCGTTACGGAACCCATCATGAGTCACACCAGGAATATTGCTATAGATAGTAAGTAGGCAGTCCCGTAATCTAAGCATGAGAATCGTACTAGTACTTGTTGCCAATGTAACCTCTATTGTCGCTTGGCACACCTCCAACATTAATAATAATGCCCAGAATCAGAAATCCTAAGCAAGCCAATATCTTTATCATGGATAGTACAAACTCGACCTTTGCACAAGGTTAGTCCAGTTGTCTAATAGCGGGGCATCGTGCATAGCAGCGCACTCACCTCACCATAACCCCTGACTCCAAAGAATTGGATGGCAACCAAAGCTACAAGAAGTGGTGTGATCCACGCGGCATTGTTGATGCCATGCGATCCTGGCCAGTAATGAATAATGTTGCAAGCAGCGGAGATCTCGAAAGGTAGGACAGTAAGCCAGCTAATAGCATACTGCCACCCACAGGCAAAGCCCCAGGACGGATCGATGAATCGACAAATGTACATGGTGAAGGCTCCGTTAATTGGGTACATGACTGCAAGTTCGGCCAAAGCCTGCATCATCAAGTACATCATTATGCCGATGACGATAAATCCGATGATAACAGCGGCGGGTCCGCCAGCAACAAACGATCCGCCAGAACCAATGAACAGACCAGAGCCAATGGCACCACCACTGTAAAGCGTGTCAGTCGCAACAGAGCGTAGTGATATCATAAGGGGATACCCAGCGAGACTGACATGGCAATCATCTGCATATGTCGACCCTTCAAGTCACGCCTGAGCTCGTTCTGCTCGGAAATGGCAATGTTGCCCTCACCATGGCTACTGGGCGGATGGCCTGTAGCGTCATCACTTGGAGAATCATACCCTGGAGGGATGTCGACGCGATTCTTTTCCATGGCAGTAGTCTCGTGCGCAAGACTCATAGTGAAAAGGCTATATCGAGAATCAGTCTGGACTATAGGACACCCTAATAGCTCTCAGACAAAAATAATGCGCTATTCAAATGCAAATATTTAAAAAGGACACAAGGCTCGAGATGAGAGCAGGGAGAGGGTGAAGGATAAGGATAAAAGAAACAATGTGTGCACGAGGCGCAGCCATGGCACTGATGTACACCCTAGTACGCGACAAGGGACCACAGCAAAGAAGGAAGGTTCGTGGCTAGATCATCCAATAGCTCCATCCATGCACACGGACTCGGCCCTTCTCCAACCTCTGGCACGGCATGAGGCACAAAATCGGCATGGTTCTTAATATTTATCTACCTATCAGACCACGGGTCCTCGTAATCGTGAGTTTACCTGCTGGGATCAAAGATTAGACTTAGCATGGAAGGTTGGGGGAAAAAGATAGGCGCTCCGTCACTGTAAGCGCTAAATTACACTAAGAGCACGCTAGTGAATAAACGGAATATTTCTCCGTTGACAAATAAGTGCTAAGAACATGTTAGGAAATGGTCCGAGGCATCGAAGAACGCTTGCGGGAAGCTTGCACGAAGCTTGCACGAAGCTTACACGAAGCTTGATTGAACATGCCCCACCACTTCGCAGACGCGCGGCCTCCTCACTACCTGGAGGTCTCGCGACAGGTGTTATAACTAACCAGAAGGATTCCTACTCTTTTACAAGGTCAAGTGGTTAAGGTTCAGCTGTTAGGGGGGGCTCCTAGCAGAGCCAAACACGCAGCTACACGCGCCTACCACGCTGCTAAAAGGTAGGCATAAGACAACAAAGCTCCGTTATTCTCTGCGTAGCTGATACTTACATAAGCTTACGTTCGGAGTGTACGGGCCTATGCTATAATATTACTCCCCTCTTAACGCCTAGCGTCTATGCTAGCGCTAGAATAAGTTTTAAGTACTGCGAGCCTCTAGGCTAGTTACGTTAGTAGTCTATCGTGGAAGCTAAGGTTCTAATAAGATAGGTAGATAGATGTTACGATCCATGATCAGCAACAGAGAAAACTGCTTACTAGTAATTAGTTTCAAGGATCCGAAGGATGCACTGCGCCGCAATCCTGCGCAACCGTGCCGCAGTCACGTGACCTGCTTAGTGATTAGTATGTCTT